CTCATAATTAATTCACACAACTGCCTCCACAGGATTTTATTCTTTTTATCTTCACAATGTGATGTTTTGAAGCCTACAGGGTGGAATGGTTAAGTCTAGCCAATTAAATCAATTAAGTAAACTAATTAATAAAAGTCTCAATAAACCAACATGTTATTTAGCTTTTGGTGTCAGTGACCAAAATACTTGACAAGAATGATTTTGCCCAGGAACATTTTACTTTGTGCTCACAGTTTCAGAGGTCCCAGTCCATCGTTAGTTGACTCTATAGGTCTGGTCCAGAGGTGAGATGTAGCATTTTTTTGCAGAAGGCATTGCAGAGGAAGGCTGACTTCATGGTAATCAGGAAACCAAAATAGAGGAGAAGGAAACAAAAATAAAACATATAATCCCCAAGGTGTTTCCCTAGTGACCCACTTCCTCCATCTACACCCCACCTGCCTATGGTAAACCACTTTGCAATCCTTCAAATTTTAAATCCTTCAAAAGGATTATTCACTGACTGTTATGATACTATTAATCTAATCATTTCACCTCCACCAATACAGTGGAACATTGGTGGGGGAGGGGGGAATTCCTCATATCCAAATCATAACAACCAACAATAGTTTAAATGTCACAAGTCAAAAGTGCATTTAATATATATAATCTGATATATATATATATATATATATATATATATATATATATACACACACACACACACACACACACACACACGCATGCACACACACACACAGGTACATACATACACACACACACACAGCACCTGGTGGAGTGTAGGTTGTTGTGGGAGGCTACCACATCATGTAACCAGTGTTTTCCCCTCCTGATCAGTTTGAGGCACTGTTGGTCACCCCTGGAGATCTGGCTATTTCTAAGTGGCTGGAGATGGTAGCCCCCATCTTGAGGGCAGTAAAAATATAAAAATGCATCCAAATGTGTCTTCATGCATGGACATGCCTTTCTGCAGAGGTTGAGTTACCTTACCTCTCCTTGTAACCCTTCCCCTCTTGACCTTTATTGGATGGAAATTTCTAAAGAATCTAGAGTCCCCTCAATAAAAGACCACTCGGAAATGTGCTTGCTGTCTCTCTCAAGCCTCTTGTGATATTCCTCCCTCTCCTTTTTGGGAAGCTTGAGGCCGAGGGCAGAGGAGCTGTCCTGGGGCTTGAATTTAAAGGTAAATTGTGGTCTGTGTTTTATTTGATGCCTTAGGAAATTCACTTGAGCAACCTCTAGTTTAATTGCCTGTGCTGGTCACGGGTGGTAGGTTATTACCATAAAGATCATGTTTTCGTGGGAACTAAGGCTCACTGCAGCTGCCTAACATGTTGAAAGAATATCATGCAGTATCCCACAGGAAATGATCAAAAATCAAAGTTTATTTCTGGAGAAAGTGTATTGTAATTTCACCCTGGTAAAGGTGAATAATCCATTCAAATTTTGAATCCTTCAAAAGGATTATTCACTGACTATGTTATGATACTATTAATCTAATCATATAATCAATTTTATTTGCTCCCTCATCTGGTTTTATTTATTTATTTATTTGTTAACTTTAATTTTTTTGGAATTGAACCTCTTTGTGTTTTACCACTGAACTACATTTCCAGTCTTTTTATTTCGAGACAGGGTCCTAAGTTGTTGAGGCTAGCCTTAAACTTGTGATGCTCCTGCCCCAGCCTTCTGATTTGCTGGGATTACATGCCTGCACCATCATGCCCAACCTATTCACTCATCTGTTGATGAACACTCAAGGTGGTTCCATATCTTGGCTCTTGTAAATAATGATACTATAGATATGTGAATGCAGATAGACATCTTCTTGACACACTGATTTCATTTCCTTTGATATACACCCTGAATATAGCAATTCTATTTTTACTTCTTTGAAGAAACTTCATACTATTTCCCATAATGATTGTACTAATTTGTTTCTATAAACAGTATGCAAAGTTTCCCTGTTGTTCACATTCTCATTAACACTTGTAATCCTTTGTGTTTTTTTGATAGTAGCCTTTCCAAATAGGGACAAATAAATATATCACTGTACATATTTTTTTTTGTTGCTAGGGATTGAACTCAAGGTTGCTCCATCACTGAGCTATATCCCCAGTATCTCCTCCACTTTCTTATTTTGAGAGMGGGGAATCACTCAATTGGCCAAGCTGGGCTCAAATTTACAATTCTCCTGCCTCAGCCTCCCAAGTAGCTGGGCTTACAAGCATATGCCACCATGTTCTGCTTCATTGCAGGACTGATGTGCATTTTACTGTGTGTTTAGTAATACTGAGCATTTTTTAAACCTATTGCCCATTCACAGGTCTTCTTTTGAGAGGTGTCTGTTCAGATATTTTGCCCATTTTTAAAAAAAATTGATGGCTCCCACTACTGCTCATAAGGATCCTTGTGTGTAAGTGTTGGGGAAGGGAATGCTGGAGCCTAGGAATCTGTATTTTGAGCTATTCCAGGTGATTTTGAATATTGTGTTCCCATCTTAATATTTGATTAGCTTTATTAATTTTTTGTATTTTCATTCATTTTTGGTTATTGAATCATTTGAGTTCCTCATACATCTTGGAGAACAACGACTTGTCAGAAGCATAGTTGACAAATATCTTCTTCCCTGTGTATTTTGTTTCTTCCATATGTTCCTTGCTTCGTTTATGTGCAGAATTTTTTGTCTAATCCCACTTGTCAATTTTGACTTTTGTTCCCTTCTGAGGTCCCATCTAAAAAATCCTTGCCAACACCACAGTCATGTAGTTTTATTACAAGTTTTCTTCTGGTAGTGTAATTGTTTGGGGGACTTCCATTTAAGTCTGCAGTCTATTTTGGATCAATTTCCCTACGCAGGGAAGACATGGGTCTGCCTTCTTTCTTCAGCATGTCAATATCCATTTTATCTCCAGCACCATTATTAAAGAAAATGTTTCTTCTCCAGTTTGTATACTCAGAACCTTTGTTGAAAATCAGTTCCTTGGAAATGTGTAGATTTGTTTCTGTGCTCTCTGTTCTATTCCACTGGTCTGAGTTTGTTTTCTTCCTATACCATGCTATTTTGAATACTCTGATTTGGTAGTATATTTTGAAGTCAGATAGCATGGTGCCTACATCTTTGTTTCTAGATTTTTGTATTTGTTAGGTTTTGATTTTGTTCCATTATTTTTATTACTCAAGATTATTTGATTATTCAAGATCTTTAATGGTTCAAAATATTTTGGATATATATTTGGGAAAACACTTCTGCTTCTGTGAAAAAACCCATTGTATTTTGATAGAGATTGCATTGAATCTATGGCTAGTTTTGAACAATAGGTATATTGTAACAATGTTAATTCTTCTAATACATGAACCCAGGATATGCATCTGTTTATTTGTGTCTTCTTCAATTTGTTTCACAAATGTTTTGTAATTTTCATTATACCTTTATAGTCAGATTTATTCCTAGGTACTTTTTCTGTGGCTTTTGTAAATGCAGTTACTTTCTTGAATTCTTTCTTTACACATTATTATTATTATACAAATCATACTGATTTTTTCATGTTGACTTTGTATCACACATATTCACTGAATTTGGTTATGAGTTCTACTAGCTTTTTGATGGACTCATTAGCATTTTCTCTCTATAAGCTCATGTCATCTGCAAGCAGAGTAATTTAACTTCTTTTTCTCCAATTTGAATGCATTTTATTCCTTTCTCTGTTCTGATTACTTGAATATTTCCAATATTACATAGAAAAGAAGTGGTAGATTGTCATCTTTGTGTTGTTCTAGACATTAAAAAGAAAGCTTTAGGCTCCCCTGATGCCCATCAGTGTCCTGTAGCCATGGGATTTTCACAAATGGGCTTTTTTGTGTTGAGATATGATCCTTGAATACCTAATTTGATGAGAAGTTTTATGATGAGAGGATGCTGAATTTCATCTGATGCTTTTCCTGTACCTCCTTATTACTGATTTTACTGTGTTCTGTAAGTTGGTTTTTTGTGTTTCTGTTTCTTTTGTCTTGAAATGGGGACATGTGTGAAGGAAGACACAATGACAAAATGGTATGTAAAAAATGCTTAGACATCACTAAGCATCAGGGAAGTAGAAATCCAAACCACATTGAGATATTACCTTATACTTGTTAGGAGAGCTATTATTAGGTCAAGGATAGCTAAATGATGAGAATGCGGAGGAAAAAAACCCCCTTGTACACACTTCTGATAATATGTAAATTGATGCCACCATTATGGAAACAATATGGAAATTCCTCAAAAATTTGCATAGAATTATTTGATCCAGCAGTCCCACAACTTGGTATATATCCAAAGGAATTCAAATTTGGATCTTGAGGAGATCTCTGCATTCTCATATTCATTGTGGAAATACATCAGAGGAATAAGTCCTAGAAATCCACTGTATGGCATTCTGACAGTAATAAACAATACTATATTATGTACTTCAAAATGTCCAAGAAGGTAGATCTTGTTCTAACTATTCTTATCAAAATAAATAATAAAAATGAATACACAGGGGGAAAAGAAATTTTGAAGGGACTCAGTATATTGATGTGTAGGTTTTGGTGACAACTTCACAGGTATGCAGTTACTTCCAAAATCATTAAGATGCATTGTTAAATAAGGCAAGATTTTTCAATATTGATTATACATTAAAAAGTACTTTGGGAAGCAGAAAATAGTTATCACCATTGTCTATCAATGAACAAGTTCATAAACAATGTCCCAAAGCTAAATTTATTTGTTTTATTACTCAAGTGGCACTGGAATGTCAGTTCTTTCAGCTTCCAAATGCATCCTGCCTTGGGTCTCTGTTTTGCCCTCTTTCCCCATAGCATTTTTCCTTTCTTGTACTTCCTTTCTGAGCATGTTCCATAACTCCCTGTGACAAATTCTTTGACAGATAGGGGACAGAAGCATTTCCAGCTCCTGTCTTCAGAAGGATCACCCATCCTCACCAGGTCAGTGGGCTTGATGCAGCCTTTGAGCAGTCAAGTAATGCGGCAAAGTGAATCCCAAAGATGGAAACCTAACCTCAATGTAGAGATGGAGGCTTTGAATGCATCTTGAAAATTGTAGTGTCTGAAATGTGTCTTCGAAGTTAGGATAGAACTATCCAGGTTTCAACAGTCAGGGATATAGTTATTTGCAGTTGAGTGAAGTCCCAATGACTTTGGAAGGGCAAGGTCACTGGTGTTCTGGTAAATGTTTAACTCCAACATTCAAAGATTTGAAAATATCCTAGAGTCCAGAATTATAGCAATTATTAATTTCTGTGGTTTGTTAAATTCCACCAGAGTCAAATTCAAGCTAACTTCATGATGTCAACAGGTCCATTAATCATTAAAAATTTAACAAAATGCTCTTGTAAATCACAATAAACTGACTTCAAGGCACCAATGTTGGCATACATGGAGAACTGAGACATTTTCAGGCTTTTCTCCAAATCATTGTGTGATGATTGGCRTAGAAAGGAAGTTACAAAGAAAGATACATTCATAAAATATGAAGAACCAGCATACCCCCCATTTGAATAGGTGCTGCTTCTTCCCCAAGTAAGGGTTACCAGGAAGGACAACTTGTAAAGGCCCCAATTTCAGCAAGCATTGCCCACCTAAATATCTCTGGAAACTCCACTCATTTCTGTAATCTCATCAAAAATTTGTAACTGGTACCAAATTAAGCCAGCATGCCCTGATGTTTGACTTTGAAATTGAAAGAGTTTGAAGTCCACTCTCAGGCATTGTAGCTCTCATGTGAGACAGATTTAAGGTCTTCTTGCAGTCAATTCTTATTAATATCACGAGAACAATGGCCAGTGGTCATGGGTTTATGTGTTTGGTGAAGAGGGTATCACCACAGATGCCTCTCTAACACAAGCATAAATCCTGTTTCCACTACTGAAGCTAGGGCTGAAAGCTATTGGGCCATTCCCAGTGGTATAGAATTCCCCAGTCACGGGAGTAGGTCCAATTCTCTGAATTCCCTTCTTCACAAAAGTTTTCTGATGACGTTTATAGTATTATCACATTTGTAGAGGAGACATGGCAATGGAATTAATATCTTCAAATAACTAATAAATTAATAAGTACAAGAGTTCTGGTAGAAGTAGTTTGTTATGTATATTTATAAATTACTACTAAATAGCCTGGAAAATGTTTGTGAGAAGGGCTTGTTTTCCTACTTCTCCTGATCCTGATTCTTTTATTTCTTCTTCTTTTCAATGACAAAGAAATTGAGGTAAAGTGATAGCAGTCACCTTGCCCAGGGTACACAACAAGCAATTGTCAAGTCCAATGTAGCACTTCAGTATAAAACTGAGTCTGAGTTTAAATTAGTTTAAACCAATATCATCCCTGATTCTGACTCAAGTTTAATTCTAGGTTTCTCTTTCATGGGGACACACCATCCAAGTTATTTTATAAAAAAAGGGTGACTCAAAAACTAAAAAATAAAAATAAAAAATATGTTTCCAGGAAAAAATTTATCTTCCTGAGACAGAAGAACTGTTTTCTCATCATTAGTAACTAATGGAGAAAAAACTCTACTACCTACACTTCTATAGCCATCTAGTATGAATGGGGCTTTGGATTGTAGGATTGTAGCCTAACTCATCATTTGGTTTCCTTCCTCATATAAATCTCTAACATACACTCTCTTTTCAATGCTGTATAWTCCTCTCCAGTTTCCTGCTAATGTGTCTTCATTGCACAAGTTCCCTGAGGTTCTGTGAACTACTGAGTTCGCCTAGCACACTGCTTTTATACCTTCTATTATTTCAATGTCTATATTTTCCACTAGATAATGAAATTATTGAACTTGCTTTCTGTGTTTGCTTAGTGCTTCCTCAATACCCATCATTTTCTGACAAGGGAACAATTTGTTGTCTCTGTTATTAACTGAAGGCTGTGAGATCCGCCATGAAGGAGGAGCTGAAGGCAACACAGACAAAACCTACTCTGTGCGACTTGTTCCACACACCCAACCTGTGTAAACGGATCTGTCTCCTGTCCTTGKTGAGGTAGGCTTCACACCATGCTTACAGAAAGAGTGGAGAAAGWATTTATTCCTTCCTTCAAAGTGTATAATATGTGGTGAGCACAGCTTTGGAGATAAAAGATGAGGAAGACATAAAGAGCACCACGATGGCTGTGGASAGTCAGAGGGTCATGTAAAGACTGACACAGAACCATTGCACAGTGAGGAGTCCTGTTTATCATATCACACAGCTAGGCTCACACCAGAGACTGATGCTGCAAACTCCAACTATGAACAGACATTGTCTCTGATTTTCTTCATTGCTTGTTTAATGGAGGTAAAATTTCAAAGAGTGAATTGCATAAATATATGTAACTCACGGCATATTTACATATGTAAAGATATTTCCAACACTCAGATCAAGAGCTGAAAAAAAAACTCTAAAATCCTAAAGACCCTTTAAGGATTGTATTGTATTTCCACAATATTCCTCACATGCCCCCAAACTAAACATCCCTGATGGCCTCCAGCATCATACATTTGTTTTAGTACAGTTAATAATTAAAATAATCACCCATAGGCACATATTCCAAARAAGAGATATGCCTGTATGTTTCAACACCAACAAATGACTGAGCCAGTATTACCATTATCTAAAGGATATAAGTGCTAACCCTTGTGGCATGTGTCTTTCCTGTGTGTTTGCTACAGATTTGCAACAATGATGCCTACTTTTGGCTTGACTCTCCACCTCCAGCACCTGGGGATCAATGTTTTCCTGGTCCAGGTTCTCCTTGGTGTAGTCAAACTCCCAGCCAATTATCTTTCACTTTGGGCGCTGAAACACAGGGGCCGTCGTATAAGCATATTTTTTTTCAYGTCCATGATGGGAATCACTTTGCTGGCCATCGTATTTGTGCCTTCAGGTGAGAAAAGAGCACAGGGTGAAAAAGGAAATATGTTACCCACTTCCCTCAGGATTTTTCAGGTTGCACCTATAGGAATCAGAAAAATTGGGTTCTAAGGTCTTCCTGACACAAGTTGGGCTTTTAGGACAGATTTTGCCATTAGGTTGCTAGGAAAACAGCCAAAGGTCAGTAAAGTTTGTTCAGATGCCTGCTTCTCTTCATTATTGTCAGTTAAGTACCTGGAATATGGTGCCACTGAGTTCTGAGTTTCTCTAGGTCAGCAGTACAACATTTACCCATTGCAAACATAAAGAATCTGGACTTACCATCATGAGCTATTATGACCACACTGTACTGTCACTTCCTCTGCCTGGCTCTGTCTTATTACTTCACCTTCAGTGATAATTTATTCCTGAACTCTGTGTGTCTATACATTAGTCTCATGTTAGGTAACCAGAAATGCAACCCTGGATTGGAGAGTTGTTTTGACTTAAGGAAATAAAACCCCTTGTGTTCAAGTCAGAAGAGGTATATAGCAGCAACAACATATCCATCACCATGCTTTGCTGAACTCCTTTGTTGTAATGTGTTTTACAAAATCCCACATTGGTGGGTTCCACTCAGTCTCTCTCACTATCTTTTTTTAGTACCAGGAATGTACCACAGTGGCAGTTAACAACTGAGCCACATCCCCCGCCTGTACTATTTTTAGACAGGGTCTTGCTAAATTGCTTAGGGTCTTGCTACATTGGTTAAGCTGGCTTTGAACTCTTAATCCTCCTGTCTTAGCCTCCAGAAAAGATGAGATCATAGTTGTGTGTCATCACACCCAACTATAGGCTCCATTTCTCTTGAATGTGAACAATAATGTCAGTTTGCTGATCTGCAAGAAAGCCTACCCCAAGGTTTCAAGCTCTCATGAGATTTTCTTCTTAGAGTAGGTAACTGATTATATGAAAGTTTCCTTCAGTGGTTTCCAAAGTGTGACATGTTTCCATAAGAGAAGTCCTTATTCTTGAGTCTTGATGCATTTTACTAGATCTGGCTACTCTCCAGGTTGTCCATTAATCTAGTATTCTTGTTATTTTATAACAGTCTTTTATAATGTTCACTCCATGTCACTACTGGGTATGGATCATGGTTTTAAATGCCTTGGGTGCCTGCGTCTGACACTCCTCAGTAATTCCCACATCACAGTCCTATCTTCCACAGAAATGATACAGGAGACACTGGAAAGAAAAAGAACGAGTTCCTCCTGCATCCAGCATTCTCTCTCCTTCTTTGACAAATCTTGGAGAGGCAAGGGGAATTAATAAAATTATTGAAAACATTTTATTCACCATAATTTAATATATTCAGATAATAACTTATTTTGGTCACAAATTTCACTCCTGTGCAGTTTATCCACAGTATATTTTACACTGTGAATATCTCCAATAAGGGTGTTTTCCACTTGGATTTGGGGGATACCAATACCTTCATCTAAGATCCTGACTCTCCTGGATCATCTTCTTTCCAGRAATGCAGACTGTGCGTATGATTCTGACAACTTTGGGAGGAGGAATTTGTTTTGCCTCTATTACCTGTTGTTTGACCCAGGCAAATGAACTGCTCCCCACCGTCATCAGGTACAAAATCTCACAGGTTCTCTATCAGGGTAAAAAGGGCCTGTTTCCAAATCATTGACTTTTCAAGCAAAGAAAACACAAATAATCAATGGTGATGATAACAATTACAGCCACAGTTTACTCAAAGTTAGCTTTTTGCTAGGTACTTTTAGGTGTGATAATATACCACTAATGTACATCTCATGTATTCTTTGGGTTCACCTAAATTTGAAATGCTATTTTGCAACTGATAATATCCAAGTTTTGGATCCAGCCCAGGTGTCCATCAACAGATGAGTGCATAAGGAGAATATGGTAAATATACACAATGGAGTTTTATGCAGGCATAAAGAGAAGAAAATTATGTAATTTGCAGGTAAATGGATGGAATTTGAGAAGACCATGCTGAGTAAAATAAGCCAGACTCAGGAACTCAAGGGTTGAATGTTTTCTCATATATGAAAGCTAGAAAGAAAAAAGTGGGGAACCATGAATTTTCAATATAATTGAAGGAAACTTCTAGAATAGGGGATGGGAGAGAGGCAGGATACAGGAGGAACTGTAAAATGAACTTGACAAAATTATGTTCATATACAAATGTATGTAATAATTTGTATAATTGAAAAGTAGCAATAAAATAAAGTAAATGAATAAGAAAATAAAATAAATGAGMAATAAAGCAAAATTAAATAAATGAATAATAGATTTCTAAATGATAAAACGTGTCTTAATAGACTGTGAACTTGAGAAAATTTGCTAGCAAACCAACAAAAATTTCAAAAGCAAGAGCACATCATCAAACTTCTCATGACAAAGCATACCCTTTTAGGTCTCCCATAATTAATGCATGAAGGTGACACAAACCCATGTGCATTCTCAACAGATTTATTATGCCTTGTTGTTTGTGCTCCAAGGGCAACAGCTTTTGGAATCATTGGAGTTTGCGGTAGTTTGGGGGCAGCTSTGGCTCCCCTGTTGATGACCCTGGAAACATATGCTGAACCCTTGCCCTGGATCATCTATGGAGCCTCCTGCATCTTTATTAGCCTYGTTGTCTTCCTCCTTCCAGAAACCAGGAATCATCAACTGCCTGACTCCCTCCAAGATATAGAAAATGGGTGAGTGAACCCTTTCATGGTTCCTTAGAGGAGTTATGTACCATAAATCTGAGATGAGAAGACAGATTCYACTGGGGCCATATGTCTCTGTAAATTGTAGACTTACTCTCTTTTCATGTGGACAGTACCATTGGTTTAGTAAAAGCAATAGGCTTTAACCAGTGATCTCAGATGTTCCCCTGAAGATTTCTAGATCATGCCATCGATTTCTCCTCAAACTTCCCCAGTAGGTTTAGTAGTAAATGCAACACAATTAGRTCTACTCAGTCCTTGCTGCTAYGGTGTAACTGAAGGTATTTCACAAACATGCACATATACAAATGACAAATCTCATTCTCTATGTCCTACTATCCTGTAGCCCAATGACTGCTGGTAGCTGTCTGGCACTGTCATTTCTTATAGGCTTGAGCTCTTCCTTGGTCACTGAAGAACCCAGGGGTGATCATTACAAGACTAGGGTCCCTTCCATAGCTGACAATACATTTTAGGGGAGGAGTCTTGTTGTGTTGCCTGTGAGATTCAGACTATCTTGTTTTCACCAGGAATGAAAATGTTCAGAAAAGAGAAAAATGCAATGGTAAATAAAGGAATTTTAAAATGATAAATGACTGGGAAAGATTTTTTTAAATTTTGTGTGATTCCCTGATTTTCCCAAAGATTCCTTTGGAGAATTACATGGTACCCAAGAATGACAGTAGAAACCATCAAGCTGCCTTCCAAATACTACAGGAATATTTGACTTTTAGTTCACAAGTTTTACTGAAATACATGGGCAGGTGTCTTTTTTTTAACCAAGGTTGGTGGGGAAAGGATCAGCTTGCTCTAAAGAATGCAGGAGATAATGCTTTCTCCATGTCCTTTCTTGTTTGTATTTCTTTCATCATGTATTTTTTTTCATATCTGTTCTAGTGGGAAAGGCTCAAGAAAAACAGAGCTGGAAGATACCTCCATCAAAGTGACACACTTCTAAGGAATTTCACAAATTGGATACTAATCAAAAAGCAAGAAAAAGGAAGAAATATAAAGGTTACTCCAAGATACCAGCAAAAAATTAAAATAAATAGAAGCAAAAGAAATAACAATTCCCATTTATAATGGTGAATCTAAATTATAGTATTCAAGATACTTTATGAACCATAAGAAGTTGAAAGAAACTGTAATTCTTTGAAATATATGAGAGAATATTTGTATAGTGTAGACACCTAAAATGTTTCTGAATAGGGAGATGGAATTAGCTTTAAAAATTTTTTCTTTCTGAATTTATAGAAAGAGTATTCTATGGAATAATTACAATGAAGAACCTGACACCCTTGAAAAAACTTGAAACTTAGTAGTTCCAAATACATATAAAAATTAATACCGGTATGTGAGTCAGCTTTCTGTCTCAGCAACAAAATAAATTGAGTTAAATGACTTAATTAAAGGAATAATTTATATTGGCAATGGTTTCAGAAGTTTCTTTCCATGTTTGCTTTGCTCTGTTGCCTTGGGTCTATGGAAATGGGAAGTATTATATTGGGCAGTCCATGGTGGAACAACCTGCTTACCTCATTGAAGACAAGAAGAAGAGAGAGGAAGTTATGAGGATCCCAATACTTCCTTCAAGGTCATGCTCCCACTGATTTAAATCCCTTCAACCAGGTACAAATTTCTGAAATATTTATCACCTTCCAATCATATACCACCAGCTGGTTATAAAGCATTTAACAGATAACTTATTGGGGCACACTTCAGATCTAAACTTTAACATTCTGCCCCCATGCCCAAAATTTCATGTGTATCCCATAATGCAAAATGCACTGAGTTAATTTCCAAAGACTCCCTTCATCTTAACCGTTGTTCTAGCATCTCCAAGACCAAAGTCTCCCCTAAAAATCAGGGCACACTCTTAGCTGTGACTCCCTGTTTAAAAAGCTATATTCTTCCAACAAATAATGTGGGACAGAGGCAGGAGACACATTCCAATTCCAAAGGGGGTAAATAGGTACATAGAAGGGACCAAAATTCATCAGAGTATAGATTAAATCCTGTAATTCCATGTATAGTATTTCAGACACAGGRTGTGATGTGAGATCAAAAGGACTGGAGCAGACCCACCCTTGTGGACTAGTTGGCGGTAGCTCATAAGGCCACTCTCTTGGGCTGGATCAGGTCACTGATGGCACCTCCCATGGCAAGTGTTCTGTACTTCTGGACCCTCCAACTTCTTGGAGTCTCCACAGCAGCTTCACCTTAACTCTCAACAGTTTCACACATCATTATATCAAGGGATTTTTGCAGGGCTTCCAATCCCACCACACATCACCTGGCCTCACAGACCTTCCTTTGAAATCTCAGTGGAAGCCTCTGTGACCCACAACTCTTCCCTTCTGCAAGCCTGTGAAACCAGCATCAACTGGTTGATGCCAAGTTTTGCTGCTAATGGGAGTTACACCTGAATGGACTTCAACCAAGCCTGCATATGCTTCTGAGTGCCTTCCCAGCTGATACCAGGAAACAAATCTCAGGACAGCAATTGTCTTGGTGGTCTTGCTGATGAGGGCACTTTGGGGCTTCCTTCTCAAAGCAGACCTTGAAACGAGTTTATATTTTTTATATCCTTGAGCCTGGAATTGATGGGGCCTTGTCAATTCCTGAGAAGTCCAAAGGCACCTTTCCTACTATACTTGGTTTCTTTGGAATGTCTCTAATCTCTTGACCAACTGCTGTCTCCTTGGCCACTATTAATATGCTCCTTTGCTTGCCAAACTGCATGTTTTCATTTCTATGCTGATTTAAACTTACTTCTTCTCACTGTAAACATGACTGAAGCAGTCAGCAATACCCATGAAAATGTTTGAAATTTGTGCTGCCTTGAAGTTTCCTACATCATAGCAATTAGTCCATGATCTTTATTGAGCCTCTCAAATTTTCAGGGCATGGACAAAATGTAAATAATTTATCTTTTTTTAGAACATAAGACATATACCCCTTGACCAATTTCCAAGACAGTTCTCATTTCTATCCAAAAAACTCATCAGCATAGCCATTGCTGTCCACAGTTCTATCTGTATTCTGATCTTCTAAGCCCCATTGGAGTCACCTGTTAAGATTGTTTTTGAAAGTCTAGGGATTCTGAAACCCATTTCCCCAAAGTTTTTCAAACTCTTTCCACAAATTTATTATAAAAGTTTCTGAACCATGTCACCTGGTATAGATACAACAACATGTACTCTTATTAGTACCAAATTCCTGTGATTGTCATCTTCAATAATGAGATCAGTAGTTCCTAACACAAATTCCTCTTGAAAATTTTCCCTGAAGGAGCTTTTCCTACTGAATAGAAACCAGATGGAGAGCAATTGAGCACCACCTTCCTGCTCCCAATTGCTAGGGAAGGACCTGCCCCTCCTTGCTTTCTGCCTTCTTGTTCTGCCATATGAACTCTTCTTCTGGCATGTGGTTTCACTCTGAAGCCATATGCATGAAGGGACACAAACTGAGGGACACTCACCAGAGTTGAAATCATTCAGTTGGAGTTCTCATTCTCCAAATCCATGAGATAAATAAAACTCTTTTCCTTTTTTTT